TTCCAGTGAAGGCCAACGCAAGCTGGAGGAACCACACCTCATTTTCCACTTGGGGACCCTACAGCCCTCTGGACTCAATATTGAGTTCAATAATTTTAGTACCTAAACTCTCCCATGTCCCAGCCCCCCACCCCACACACCAGGCCTTGTTACCACATAGCCTGCCACTACACACCCCCTGTTGTTAGTCACTAACAGTCCCCATTAACAACTATTCACCCTCCCAGCCTGATCATTAGCAACTCCTTTGTCTGTCCAACTGTCTTTCTCTCTCTTTGGGCTCTATCTTATCGTTTACTCCCTACCCCACCCACCTCCCTATTTTCTGCACATAAACTGCTGTTTTCCCAGCCACCATCAGTTCTGAGGAAGGGTCATCGGACCCGAAACGTTAACTCTGTTTTCTCCTGCACACATGCTGCCAGACCTGCTGAGCTTTTTTGTTCTGTCTTTCATCATGTTGGCTATGATTCCATTCATTGGAGAGTCATCCTTTTAATTCTCATTAATATCCATTTCACAAGACCTCTTGATGTCACACTTGGACAAATGCTGCTTTGATGTCAAGGCCTACCACTGTCACCTCACCATTTGAATTCAGCTCTTTTGTCCATGTTTTAATAAGGACAGGAGGCTGAGTGGCCCTGTAAGAAACCAAGCTGAACATCAGTGAGCTAGTTATTGTGTGTATGTGTCACTTCATAGCACTATCACAGATGCTTTTCATCACTTTGCTGACAATTAATGTGGTGATAGGTGGCCAGATTAAATTTGTCTTGTTTTCCTTTGTTGACAGGATGATCCTGCTTTTCACATTATTTTGTAGATTCAAACATTGCAGCTGAAGAATGGTATGTTGCCATTGGGATCCTCAGGAACAGGTTGAGATTAGTCATCCACTGTCACGTCTATTTGAAGATGATTGCACATGTTTTAGCCTACACTTTACATGTACATCCTTTGTTCCCCCAAAATTAAACATGGGATATTTATAGAACCTCATTGCAATTGCTTCTTTAATTTGTCCATCATTATTCATGATTGGATTTGGTAGGATGTATGATCCATTTAGCACACTGGTAGTGCCAAACAATATAGTGGAGGATGTACTTAGTGTGAAGATGGGACTTGATTTCCTCAAGAATTGTGCTGTGATTTCTCCATTCTGAACTGCCATGGACAGATTCGTCTGTGACAGATAGTTTGCTGAGGTAAGGCCAAATAGATTTTTCCTTCTTGCTGATTTCCTCGCCACCAACTGGTGTCAGTTCAGTCCAGCAAGTATGGTCTTAAGAACTGGACTGACTTGATAGGTATTAATGCCACCAAGCTGGTCTCCTTGATGGGCGTTAAAGTCTTCCACCCAGATATATTCTATATCCTTGCTACCCTCAATACTTCTTCCAAATTGTGTTTACCATTGACAACTACTGTTTCATCAGCTGAAATAGGAGATATGTGATAATAAGATGTAAGTTTCCTTGTCCATGTTTGATTCATTGCCATGAGATTTCATAGTCTTGATTCAATGTTAAGGCTCTAAGGAACAAAGACAGAAGTTGCTGGAAAAGCTCAGCAGATCTGGCAGCATCTGTGAAGGAAAATCAGAATTAGCGTTTCAGGTCCAGTGACGCTTCCTCAGAACAGTGATGGAGGGGTCTGAGAGAATGGCTGTAAGGCATACAAGTTGTATTAACAGTTGAAATGCTTCATTTATTTATCAAACCTGCTGCACCTAATCTACATGACTGGTACTTAAATGTGTTGAAACTTTAAGTTTCGTAGGAGAAAGGCAGGATATGACTTCTGCACTTTGCTGAGCCTCCAATTTACTTTGATTTCTGCTGATTTCACGTTTAAACATTGTCTAGTGAGATTCTTAGCAGTTTTGACAGCAAATTGATATCATTGGGCACATTGTGAAGTCTAACCCTTTTAGATGCAGCCATGGTGGAAATCCAGGCCTGCGTGTTTTGTAAGAGTATGCTCATGAACACTGGCTCACTAAACATTACCAGAAAATTACCAGAATTAATACTGCCTTTTCTCAGTTGTGTTTACTCTCTATTTCAGCATGTACAGTATTTGTTTTTTGCACTCCAGCTATGTATCTGAGCTTCTGCCTAATTTTTCCACTCACTTTCCCTCTTTATAACTCTATCTCTATATTATTTTACTCCCTGTGTACCTACATGGCCTGATGTCTAAATTTCTCTTCCCTTAAGCACCTAAACATTTCTCTCACCATCTCCTCTGTTTAAACTTCTGCCTCTCCCTCTTGTCTATAAACTGTCATCATTTTCTGTGACAAAACTTTTGTTTCCCTGCGTCGTTCTCTTGTGTTTAAATTTGCTCTGTCTTTCTATCTCACACTCTCTTTTCATCTGTCTCTGTCTTTTTCGGCTAAACGAAGAAGTACTCAGTAGGGAGAAAAGGTTTGGAAAATTGGGATAAAATTTAAGCAGTGACTGATGGGAATGCAATTGATGTTCAGCCCATTTCTCCACCAATTAAATGTAAACTTTTGTCTAATTTCATTGTAAGAGCTGCAGGGTCTGTGGAGTTAAATTGGACTGCATGAGTGGAATCTTACTTTTTGGCTAAGTACCAGTTGCATCAAGCTTTTTAGAGGGTTTTTCACTGTTGGCCCTAGTGCATTTACTCAGCGTTTCTTATCAAATTCATATTAACTACCTACCTATGCCATTGCATCCGTCTTGTCTGATTCTAGCCTGATCTATATGAACAATGCTATATGAACAATTCACCATTGACAGGATATCCCTTAATTAGCCAGCATCCTTGGCACTAATACCATATTTAAAAGGTCATTCTGTATCTAGACAAGTGCTGTCACTGCAGAGCTGCTCGGCATGGTTGCTGACATTTGTCCTGGACATGACGGACAAGGCAAAATTGGCATCCCACTTTGTAGGCAGGGACCTGGACATCCTGTAGATGGGGTAGCACACAGGCAGGATGTCCTCCTCCCCCAGGACAAGCAAAAGAGATCATGACACCATACCTTTCCAACTTGGTCCAAGGTTGGCATCCAGGTCAGTGCAGACTCGGATACCTGGATGAATGTATTGCAATGTAGGAAGAAGGTAAATAATATTCTCCACTCAGCCAGCTTAAGTATCACTGTCTTCTCTCTGCGACGTCATATTCACTCTACCTGTACGGTACCAACTCCCACCAAGCCTCATACTTCAACCACTCTCACAATTGCCTGCAAAATCTTCCGTTACTTGCAGTCTCCACTCCAACCCACGACACTGCTAACCCTGCATGCTCTCTACTCTGCCTATTCAGTCACTTAGGACACTTTCACATGTCCACCAAAATAACAGCTGTGCCACCACTTGGATCTCCCTTAATACCTACCACTCTGTCTTCCAGAAGAAAACAGCCCACAGTAGGACAGCAAGAGTCAAATCGGGCGGTGTGATGACTGACATATGGCTCGTCATCTCTGATGTGGAGAACATCCTGAGCAGCTAACCGATCATGTACAAACCCATGGATTGGTATCGAAATGCCTTGACTTACTGTGATGAGCAAGCCCTAGCTGAAGGTTGTCTGCCTTGGCTTGACTGAGGCCTGCTGACAACAATAACAAGCTTCCTGGGTTTTGTCTATGTTAAAAGGCAAATCAATACAGCATTGCAGTATGCGACTGGTATCTCTAGCTGAGGAGGTAAAGTGCCAAAAAACAAGGCAGAGCATTGCAAGGCAGGATGCTATGAGCATTCAGGAGGGCTCAGAGTGTGAGTTTATGACAGCAAGCAAACAGGCTGGAGATGCAGGAGGCCTTTGGAATCAAAAACTGGTCACTATTTCACAGACCAATCAGTTACATGTTGCCAACTGTCCAATTGTACACAGCTTGTCTGTAACTCAGCTTTCCCCAATGCTTGAGCCCAAAACTGTGTAAACGGCACTTACAAAGAGTGTCAAGTAACTTGCTTTTAAACCAGTGCTTTTCCTAATTCAGTCCACAAGTAAAAGTACAAAAAAAATTGGTCTTTACACTTTCTTATTACTTTACTGACTTTACCTGTTCAACCTCTTTCTCTCTCAAAGTTTGGTGATTGTTATGTGTAGTACCATTGGTAAATTTAGGATTTATATAGCCTCATAAACAACCCAACTTCAAGAATCAACAAATTCAAACAATTACAACCAAAGCAACAACAAGTAGCAACAAGTATGTGAGGCACAATTTCCTTCCATGAATTAGCATTCTTATAAATACAGTGACAGTGTGGAAAATAATATTGCATTGATGCAGTGGTATCACTGTACTTTGGGGGTGAAGTTCTGGTCACTTGGATATAACCTCTGGAGATAATCTTGAGAACAACTGTATCACTGATTCATATTGTCAGCAATGAAATAATTGGGGGAAAAATGACAAAATTCAGAAAGCAGGAGTGAAATATTGCACAGTCATGCAAAATGATTTTTTTTTTAAATGAAAAGGATAATTATTTAGAAGGACTTCAAACTAAGCCTCAACAATAGGAATAAGGGAAAGGCTTAAAATCAGAAAAGACAGGAGTCTATTTATTCTTAAAATCCACCCTGTAGAAAGAAATAAAACTTGTATCCTTAGGTAAGTCATTGGCTTAGAAGACAAACTTGAATTTGCAATGAACCCTACTTTTCTAGCTTATCTGAGGTTTGCTTTTAAAGATTTAGTACATTGCAATTTTCATTGCAACCATTCTAGCTACTTCATTTTAGGAAGTAACTCCTTTTCAGGAGATAAGAGGCGGTCATTCCTATCATAATGTTAGACTAATGACTGTTATAGGGACAACTGGTCGAAAGATAGGCTTTGGTAAAAGCAAATCCTGTTTTGTGGAAAAATGCCTTTCCATATATATGTGAGGAATTATTTCCAGTTTAAAGTACCATTCTACTGAATTTGTAGTTTACATAGGCTTGAAATTGCTTTTCGCTTCAGTAATAGTACATTGCAACTGTTTTTTCAGATCGGTTATTGGGAAGTATATGATGGATCAGCTATCAGAGAACTGGATGGGTCCTTATCTGGTTCTGTTAATGGAATGGACATTACAATGAATGGTGACTTCTTTGTTACAGGTAAGAAAAATCTCAAGTTATGATTTGGCTGGAAATCTTAATCTCTGCAATAATTTTCTGCAGTTAGTGTGATCAGGAATAATTAAAGTGGTTTTGAAGAGTTCATAAATATTTAGATTACTGCCTTTCAACTTATTGGGATAGCTACCTTTAAAATAATGTGTGCACAGTTAACCTAACGGCTTATGTTTTTCTGCCCTGCTTCTGCTTTTTGCTAGCAGCTGTGTTCAGTGTAGATTATAACCATCAAAGTAATCTATACCACTGATATATAATGATTTTCATATTGAAATACGAATTATAAATTTTCAGTGATCACACCCAAGTTATTTCTCAGTAAGCTGGGTGCAATAACATCAAAATGATACCCAGCAATACACTCATCTTTATAGATCAATAAGAGGGAGTGTTTTGACCTTTGTGCTGTAAACACAAACGAAATGCAAATATACGTGAACACCTATATAAAATTGAAACTTTGCATGATTGGAAGATAAAAAACTACTAATAATGAGGATGTACCTGAAAATCATGATATAATCTCAGTGTTGAGGGTACCAAGATGGAAAAAATAGAATGTATGGAAAGGCAAGCAAGAAATGTAAAAACAGACAATAAAAGCTTCTCAAGTTTCTAAAGGAAAAACATTGGACCCTTAGAGGATGAGACTGGAGAACTAATAGTGGAAAATAAGAAAATAGCAGGTAGTTTGATATTTGTTTTCATAGTAGCAGAGACAAAAAACATCCAAAGAATAGTGGAAATCAACAAACACAAAGAAGTAACTGGATTAGAACAAGCATGATAACTAGAGAAAAAAGATAATGGGATTAAATGCTGACAAGTCTCCTGGTTCTGATGATTTGCAGTTTAACATCTTAAAAGATGTAGCTGCAGAGATAGTGAATGTATTGGTAGTAATCTTCCAAAATTCCTTTTTTCTGTAAAGTCCCAACAGTTTGGAAAACTGCAAGTGTAACACCTCGAATCAACTAAGGAGAAACTCAAAGCAATAGGCCAGTTAGTCTACTATCTGTCATTGAAAAACTGCTAATATCCATTATTAGGGAGTTAGTACCAGGCCATTTAGAAATTGAGGATGCAATCAGCCAAAGACAACATGTTGTTATGAAAGGGAAACTGTGTTTGACAAATTTATTGGAATTCTTTAAATATGTAGCAAACAAGGTGGATAAAGGAGAACCAGTTGATGTAGGATATTTGGATTTTCCAAAAGGCGTTTGATAAATTGCCACATACAAGATTACTGCAGATTAGAGTTCATGGTGTTGGGTGTCATAAATTAGCATGGATATAGGATGTGCTAACTAACAGGAAACAGGAGAAATAAGTCACCTTCAACATGGCAATCTGTAACTAGTGGAATGCCACAGGGTTTAGTTGAACCCTCAGATATTTATTATCTGTAATTAATGACAAGGATAAAAGGACCAAATGTATTATAGCCAAATTTGCCGATGAGACAAAAATAGGTAGGAAAACAAGTTGAAAGGAGAATATGGAGTCTGAAAAGTGCTATTGTTATGTTAAGTGAGTGGACAAAGTATTGACGCATTTTGTATAATATGGAAAAACATGAGATTGTTCAATTTGATAGAGAAAATAGAAAGATGAAATATTATTTAAAAGGAAGGAGATTGCAGTGCGTTGTACAAAGGTATCTGGGTGTCCTTGTACGTGACTCTCAAAGTTTAGTAGTTGGAGCAAGTCATTAGGAAGGCAAATGGAGAGGAAGATGGAGTATATGTCTTGCAATAACTGTAGAGGACAATGATGAAATTACATTTTGAATCTTTGTGCAGTTTACATCTCCTCTTTAAACGAAGGAGATATGACAGGACATAGTTCAGAGAAATTCACGAGGCTAAATCATACCTGAATGAAAGGGTTTACTTTTAAGGAAAGGTTGACCAGATTGAGCCTGTAATCACTGGAGTTTAGAAATATGAAAGGTGATCTTATTGAAACATATAACATTCTGAGGGGTAAAGGTAGAGTAGATGCTGGGAGGATGTTTCTCCTGATGGGGCAAGTTACAACTTGGGGCACAGTTTAAAAATAAAGGATTTCCCATTAAAAATGTTAGTTTGTCACATTATCTTCCACAAAGAGATTAGAGGCTGCATGATTGAAAATATGATAGGTTTGAGTTAGACAGATTTTTCATCATCTGGTTTAGGGCTATGGGTTGGGGGTAGGAAAGTGGATTTAAGGGCACAGTCAGATCAGTCACAATCTTACTGAACTGCATAGCAGGCTGGAGCTGATAAATGATCTACCCTTCTCCTATTTTGTATGTTTTTATTATGTAGAAATTGTTCATGTTTCTCCTGTCTATGGATTTTCAGCAATGCTTTAGGTTTGCTCCAATGGATTTAATCTTGTTTATTTTACACAAAAGCTGCTTAACATCCTTACTGATCGAAATCTTTTTCATTCTATTGAACAAATTGCTTTCTGGTCTGTAATAGAACTCTTTATTGAGCTGTATGGCATACAGCATACATGTAATATCAGTTCAAACCTACTTGTTATAGCAATACCAACAAGAGGAATTCATTGATAAGGGAATATGAAATTCATATAGAAATATTATGTAGAGTAAGTTGCACTGTTTTGGAGTCTATTAGGAAGAATATTGAAATTTGAGTGCTTTAGTAGCTACACAGACCCACAACATTTAAATAAACTGCTTTCTTCAGGGAGTCTCATGCATTAAAATGCATTTTTATATAGGTTGTTAAGGATGGGTATTTTATAAGATTGTTATGTTTAGGGACCATTCCTTTAAATTACCAGGGAATAGTGAAGGGATTAAACTTGTTCTGAAACTTGCTTGACAATAAGCTGCTGGCTTGATTGTTATAGTTAAAAGTAGCTAGGGGATGGGGGAGAGGGCAGGGGGTGGCGATGTGTAAGGTTCATTTACTTGGAAGAAGGTCTAGGATATTCGCACTAATGAGGAGTAAAGCTGGGCTGCCTGAGGTGGAAGTGTTAGAAACAGATTTTTGCAGAGTTGGGCTGACTTTGGAGCCATTTAAAAATAGCAGGTGGGACATGTTTCAGACATGCTGTCTCCATGCCCAGCACCAGCTACTTTTGTTCATGCAGGATAAGAGTGTGGGTAGCGAGACCTTAGCCCTTCGCTCCAACCTGACTGGCTCTATTGCAGAGGTAGGCATCTCATACCTCTGCACAATCTTTTTGTGGAGTTAGGCCAGCTTCTGCATGACTTGTGGCTAACAGCCCTTCAGTGCAATCATAAACCAAAGTCTGGACTTAAGAACGTTTTAAAAGATAAGATTAGTTAGTCTTACCTACTGTGTCTGTGCCCCTTTGTGCTCTTCCTTGTCTTCCATGCCCTGAATGCACTCACTGTGCCCTCCATGCCATCATGACCCTTCCATCTTACCTCCAATTCATCCAATATGACCATGTACTAAATCAATGAACCATATCATGACAATGCCAAGCATTGAGGTTGTGATAAAATGTGTGTGATCTATATATATATACATATATATACTAATATCATTTATTGTAGAGTTTGGGCTTATCTAGCAGCAGTGGGTTTTGTTATATGTGTTGTTCTTTCTGGAGACATGATTTTAAACCAGTATGTGTCAGAGACCAGGTGACTGCGGCCCTACTGGAGTGATAATGTGGGTTTGTAGTGTATGTGTTTTACAGTCAGAAAGAGCAAATATTAATAGACATTAGCTTGCCTTTGGTTTAGAAGAATCAAGAATTGATTTTTTTTGCTTAGGAAATTTGCATACATTGGACAGCTTTTGTTTCAATTCACAGAAGACCTGGCTAGGGTTAGATGAAAGAACAGTTTCTCCTATAGAAAGGAGTCAGTTCAGAATAGTTCTGAAATAGGTTACTTCAATGTAAAAGTTTTGGTTTGGGAATTCCAGACCAGAAATGTTTGGTTTGAACCCTGAAAAAGAGTTATCTGAAGCTTAGAAAGTTTAAGATCAGTTGGGAGAATAAGCAAGGAAAAGCGATCAAGCTTTTAAGATCAGGAATTGAAGGAAACAGTTAAGTTAAATCTGTAGATGTGATAGACAGCAGAACTTTCTCCAATATTTGCACGCTATATAGTAATGGTGTTAGGATAGATGGGATTTTATTTTTCCATGCGTTTTGAAATATTTCAAATTATGTTGTAGAATATAGTTTATTTGATTTTAATTTATTTTGTCCAATAAACTTCTGTTTTATTGTCAAAACCAAATCTATTGCATTGCATACTTGAGTTTCAGTATAAGACCACCACATCACATTTTTTAAAGAAACGATCAAGCTAGATTTCAGTCTGAAATCCGACTTATCCAGTCATAACATGAGCTGGATCATAACAATGTAACAAGGAAAAGCCTTAAATTCGGAAATCTTTCTTGAAATAAAACTACCTGTTCCTACAACCCTATAAAACTTTACAGCTGATTCAACAAGAGAACTTTTTCAAGGATTTTGAGAGAAAAATTGACCATATAAGAATGGACGTCCATTCAAAGATTTCTCATTTATTGTTGAGGAAGAACACTATTCTGGAGTGGCATAAAATTACTCACAACAACGTCTGGATTTCTGTGTTATTCTGTGCAAGTAGGGATGTCAGAAGTTGCTGTCGATTTCAGTGGAGTTAAGAATAGCTTAATACTGATGATTTCATTTTCATTACAACCATAAAATTTGAGTTAGTGTTCTTAAAACCTAGCCTAGTAATTCTGTATTGATACTTACAAATGGAGTACAACTTATAATATTTTATTTAAATTATATTATTTTAAAGAAATATTATGTACACATTTGCACTTGATGGCCTTTCATTTTAACGAATCCATTTGGTCATCTTTCTGAATTGATAGAATATCACTATCTATTTAGGAGTACAAACAGATGTCACATACCCAGGCTTGTGTCTACCTGCTTTGATAGATATAAAAGACCAGCCAAGATGACTCACCACTCTATTTTTAGCTTCCACCTTGTTTGAAGGCAACTAATCTTTGCCCTGCACACTTGCTGATAGCATGAATGAAAAGTGAAATTCACATCTGGGGAATTCCAATTGTATTTGTTACTCAGTGACACAGTTTGGAGCTGCATTAACATGGTCACTACAATGTATTTTCTAACCTAATTATTGTATAAGTGACATGCTATTGAAAGAGTATTAAAATGTCCTAAACAGACCAGATGGTCCGACAATAGGAAAACACAGGTGTAAGATGAATAAGCAGTTCTATTTATTGATGCTCAACTAAATTACTCTACATAATGCTCATTTGAATCTGCTAACATTGTGTGCACTTTGTAAATTGTTACCACAGTACAGCAAGTACAATTTTCATTGTGTATCACATTTATGTTATCATGTAAGAAAGTCTGAAGGGACACCTGAGCCTATTGGAACAAGGAAACGGGGTAGATATACTAACTAAGCACTAACTGCATGCTATTTGGTTGTATAAATATGGGGAGCTAGTAATCACTGGGGTGTGAGTTGTAAGGAGTGTGGTTCCCTCTCGACGCCTTTCGAGAGAAATGGGCACTGCAGCGGATGCAGTGCTTTATCTCCCCTTCCAACTCCATTTTGATTTAGCCCCTTCCCCCTCTCCGTAACTCACCCTCACCTTTGATGGTTTGTATCACCCTTACCGAGCTTTGCGTGTAAAGTGTTCAATTGGTAATTTTCTGATGGTGGTCAATAGAAGGAGAAAAAAAAACCATGGTTGATGTAGTTGTGAGTGATAACACTTCTGGACATAAAAGGGAAAGGAGTTAACTGAAATGAAGCTCTCATTAAAAGTGTAGACTTGGAACCTGTTAAAAACATTTATCTTCTTGTGTATAATAATCATAGCAGAGGATGGTTCAGTCAAAATGTACTTTTGATGAAATGATTCATAAATTTTAAGCAGAAAAGCCAAAGTGTAAATTATCACCTGTGGTAATGTGTGCTATTCAAGCTAAGAATTCATTGCAAACAGTTGGAGGATAAAGTCCTTACCAGTTATTTCTTAGTAGCTCCATTAATTATAATAATGATCATTCCTCCCTCCCCACCCAAGCCCCAGCTTAGGAGGGGACTACAATTAGCTGTAATTTTTTTTTGGGCCATTTGAATGCACTGCATGCAGGCAGAAAGGCTTACATTAACGCCGAAGTTTCAGAATGCCTTCAGTGACCCTTAAGGAATAATATAAGGCCATTAGAAACCAGTTGCAAAAATGGAGACATACTATACTGTTTGAGACAGGGGCTTAAAGAATGAAGAGGCCCTGGGCAGTTTATTAATAAAGGTGAGAAAGTAATAATTGTGTTGTAGTGGAACCAGACTGTTGACTAAGCTTTTCAAGGTTGTTTGCAATGGATTAAAAATTTCCGAAGGAAAGATTTATGAAAAAAAGACAAGAAGCCAGGTAACCCTCATACCCAAATGTTACACATCTGTGAGGAACAAACTGCCACAGTTGACAGTATGTCTGATAATGCAGAGATCAGTTATGTTGATCAATGTAAGGCCATTGGTTTCAAAGGACAAGTCCCAAAAGTTGGTACTAGATTCAAATATTTACCAGAACAACTAGTCAATGGATAATTAAGAGTATTATAAGTACAGCAGGGAAACCACTAGAAAATATAAAAGCTTAGTAAATGTACAGGATGAAGGGCAGGAGGTTAAGCCTATGGATTAGGAAGATGAATTACAACATTGGATGATACAAAAATGTAGTGTAAGCTCTCACAATGGGTCTAGGAGTGAATATGCCCCTAGAACGACAGACTACATTGAAAGGAATCCTATTCATAGTAGGAAAAGTTGAACAGGAATAGCCCTGATAGGAGGTCAAACATATGGATCAAACAAGGACTACAATAGGAGCAGAAATCCATTTGATCAGGAAGTCTTGATATCTATAAACAAATTAGAAGGCAAGTTAATAAAAGATGCCAAACAACAAGAATTACAAAATTGGAGAGAATTTGGGCTTACAGAGACGGGCTCAATAGGGGTCAACCAGCCCAAAGTTTAGGTAGCGATGCATGGCTAAGGTGTTTTCTGATGGGATTTATAAAGATTAAAGGAAAGCTTGCAAAACACAATATTTTAAAGAAGAACTGGGGAACCAAGGTATAATAGTAGATTCACTGATGGCAGGAAAAGCAAGTTTGAAAATATTCTTAGCTATGTTAGCAAAAAATGCTTGGGAGTGTAGGTCAATTGATACTGAAGTTGCATTTTTGCAGGGAGATAATCGCAATAGCAAAGTATTTCCTCCTCCTCAAAGAGCCCCCATGCAACTGGAGACACTCTGGAAGTTAAATGTGTATATGGCCTAAATGATAGCTCTGGACGTTTTCTTACAATTAGTGGCAGCTTTCAGGAATCTTTCAGGAATCATTTTGTAGATGACTTTTGTGCAATAGGAGCAGTGAATTTGAAAATGTTTTCATAAATGGACTTAAAGCAGAATTCAAAATTGGAAGTCAGGCTTTCTGGAGCTCTTAAATACTTTGGACTGGAAATCAAATAGAATGGATGAAGTGTCACTTTACGTCAGCAATCTTAGTTGGAAAATGTTAGCCCAAGTTTTATTAGTCAAATTAGGACTTCAAAACGATTCATCAGCTTCTAAAATCAAAATGGAGGAAGGAATTGTAAAGTCTAATTGGATAGCTGAAATGACTAAACACTCAAATAAGGCCTGATTCTAGTTTGGAAGTATTAGAATTGTGTACAACTATGAAAAATCCCAAGTCAAAGATATTATTCAGGCAAATAAAACATTTTTAAAAATTTTAAATGATCATTGTGTATTGAAGGTTCCATCATTGGGATCATGAAAACTTTTGTTTTCAATGATACTTCTGCAAATCTCAGTGATGAGTTATAAAGTTGGGTGGAGTACTTGTGGATTGGGAAGCAGGAAGTTAGAATTTGGTGTTTGTAAAATGCTAGTGGGGAAAGCATTGTGTGGTCCCTGCACACAAAGTTTCCTTGCAGCAGCATTACAATGCTAGGTGCTGTTGCATTGAATCTCTTAAAATTTCTCTCAATATTTTCGACAAGTAAAATGTCACAGCTATTGCCTTACCAAGAGTGAGAGATTCTGCCATTAAGATACTTCTTACCACTCTTCTGACCTTTTTGCTACTCAAGCTAAAAGGCAACATTTACCTCCCTTTCCCACAAAAAAATTCAAATCCTCCTGCACTTGAGAACTCATCTGTTATAAAGCAGAGGTTGACCCTATCAACAATGAGCTATCTAATTGTATTCAAAGAAAAGGAGTATGCTCTAAGAAACTGTTGGACATTTTGAAAAAAAAGGATGCTTAGAACTTTAACGTGCAAAGAAAAGAATGGGAATACATGTTGCCATTTTGTATATTTTGATTTTTAAAAATATCTTGTATATCGATGTATTTTGAAAAAAGGGAATATTATCAACTAAATGTTTGAAGAAATGACTCAGACCTAATGGAACAAGGCAATGGATGTTCGATAAATTAATTAAGGGTTATTTGTGTGAAAATTGGTTGTGTTACTATAGGGAGCTAGTAACCAGTGAGATATTTTTTATACAGTATGTTTAACTGAAATAATGTTCTCACTAAAAGTATGGATTTTTACTCTGTTGAAAAGCACTTACCTTCTCATATATAGCATCTTATACTGATTATATACTTGAATTTTGTTCTGTAAATCAGGAGGTGAAGATAAATTGATCAAATTTTGGGGATACAATGAAGGTGAAGTTATACATATTGGAATAGGTCACAGTGGAACAGTCAATCGTATTAAGATCTCTCCCTCTGTGAAACACATTATCAGTGTGAGTTCAGATGGAGCTATTCTGCGATGGAAATATCCTTATACAAACTAATCCTTATATGCACACTTTATTGACACACAACAGTATTGCTTTAAAATTCCACCTTTGACTTAAAGTTTCAGGCAGTCAGTGGTGAATTTTCATGATATCTGCTTTGGATTTCATAGAAATAGACCTCCATATTGTCCATCCTGTTCTTATGTTTCTCGAGTACCCCCTTGAGGAATTAATGAAAATTCTGTCCCTTTAGTTTTTGAATTTGAAGTTAAGTAATTTGGAAGAAACCCTGTTCCCCAAAGGTGTAATTATAAAAGACTTGAAGTTTGAATACATTAAATATTTAATGGTTCTGTGCAAATTAAAGTTAAATTAATGTATCTACTTTCATAACTTTTAATTGTGCACTACTGTAAAAATTGATTTTATGCTGTTAAGCATTATCTTTCTAGTATCATTTTTACATGTTTCTATTTCAATGTACTTATGATATTGAATGATAAATGATTTTTAATTACATTGTAACTTTATAGAAAGAATAAATTTGACAGAATTGCATCTAGTTATCTTTAAAGAATAAAGTTTTTTAAACTGAATTGTATACTAGTGGAAAAGGTTTTTCTGCATACTACTTGTATTAAAACCTAAACCAGTTTTAAAGAAGGGGCTTATGACTTTCTTACACACAGTGCAGAAAGGAAGATAGCCTTGCAGAGTTATTGCCTTCTTACAATCTCCACGAGAATGGAGCAAAGATTTGAAGAAAATGGCTAATAAACTAATTTTTAATGGAGTATCAGGCTATTTTGATTAGTGACCTGTAGATATCTATTCCCTAAAATGATTTTGTTCATTCTTTTGCAATTGTTGAACCACCTATCCCAGGTGAACTGGATAGACACATAATTCTGGATGGATAATTGTACCAGCACTTAAAAAAGCAGGATAGCAACATGCAAGGATGGGAAAAGAAAGATAAATGATCAGTTGCAAGAATTGGAATCTACATATAAACTCAACATTGCAATTTTTAGTATATTGTGATTTTACCATGGTAAATAATGGCATATGTTTAATCAATTCATGACCCAATGCCAGGTCCCAACATCAATTACGAATCTTCTGAGAAATTACCTTAACATTTATTACATGCACTGGACAATTTGAAGTTTACTTCTTAAATGTGTGTAGTGGTCACTTTGCTTGTGAGGGCACATCAACATTTCTTATGTCTCTTTTAGAAATTTCAGGCAGTGCATAACATTTCAGTAAGGACTGACAGAAATTGTCTGTCTTTCAAAAAGCCACTGAAAGAAATACCCATAATGAACCCGGGAATTTTAGGCTAATTCCTATTATGCCAGTAGTGAGCAATGTAAATGATTTTAAAATTTTTGCATTCACTTGATTTTTAGTGTTTTAGCATATGCTGGTATAGGAATGATTGAAGCAAGGAAATGCTCTCTTGGCTGTCTTAAGTGAACATCATTGACCTTTTGAATATGAAAATTTTACCTGTCAACATCCAGAACAGTTCATTTTTGTTACGTACGCTTGTCAGAGTCCTCACTGATTTTTAAAATTATTTTTACTTTATGCTTTTATCAGTCTGCTTTGGAACTGGGAACTGGGAACTGTGAGGTAAAGGTGCCTTTTGGACCATGGATCACAGCTTTTGTTAAAAGGAGAAAACAGACCAAACAAGGTTTTGTTTATTTGTAAGGTCATCCCTGAAAGTTGATTGCAGGTTGGTTCCTGATCAAAAGTTTCTGCAGACGCTTTGTCATCAGGGGATAGCATTCTGTTTAAACAGATGGCAGAAGTTGGCTATTAATGAGTTTGGTATCAGGAAACTGGTTCCAGCAAGTCTGGAAAAGACATTATGCTTAAGCAGATAGCAGATGTTGAATGGTAGCTGGAACCTCTAGAAGAGACGGTCTGTCTGTCATGAAGTGGTCAGAGTTTGCATTGGGTTTTGGACTATAATTTCTATGAGAAGAAATCTGGTTGCTGATGATAAAGCACAAAGATTTGAAATTTTCCTGCCTCGCCTCCTATGAGCAGGTCGTGGAAACTCAAAATAGAAAACTGAGTTATAAACATTATTGCCTTTATCTAAGTGAACTGTAAATATGACTCTGGATGACATCTTCAGAAAATCAACCTAGAAACCATCGTCTATGCCTATGGAACAACACATCATGAAAATTACTTAAGTAATCTGGCCAGTTTTGATATTTTCTTTTGTTTATCCCTTGACTGTTTGTTTTGTCTGTCAGTCTTTTGAGTGAATCGGCTGGAAACAAAGGTTCATTGCTTTATAATATAAACCAATTACATTACATTGTTGTTTAGTTTTATTCTACTAAAGTTATCGTATTGTTAATAAATTGCTAAGTCTCTTGTTTAAAATGCAAACTGGTGTCTGGAATTGATTATTTGCAGTCTGGGATTGATTATCCTTTAGGAACCATTGAGGTTAATTTTGAAAATCTTTGAAGGTTTTAATTTTACTCTGTTACAAATACAGAAGTAGAAAGGCTGATTTTGTTTGGTTGTCTGTCTCGGTGTCAGAACAACAACAATAAAGTACAGGACATGCCTTTTGTGTTATCATAAAAAATGTAACTCTTTTACACCCTTTAAAAAAGGTACACTTTTTAAATGTCTGGTACGATATTATTAAGCTGCGGTTTCCATAGCTAACACACCATTCTGATTTCAACTAAATTTGCATTCATTGACACTGGGTCAAAATCCAGGAACTTCCTTTCAAAAAGTACTGTAAGTGTTCCTACATCCAAAAGACTGCAGCGATTCAAGAAAGCAGCTTGTATTCTAAGGAATTGGAATGGGCAGTAAATGCTGGTGTAGCCAACTATGCCCACATTCAATTAACAAATTTTCAAGAAAGAATATCCCACAACCTTGGAGCATTTCACAGATCCGCGTCACTGCACAAGAAAATAGGAGAAACCAATCTCTTTATCAAGTTCATTTATTGAATTCAATCCAAAGTAGTATTTAATAAAAACAAGCTTTTATTCACTTTTATTTAATATATTCTCACTTGTAACCTAGGCACAGTGAAAAGTGGGTAATGTTGCCACGTTCCGGCACCATCTTAGATTGCAAAATCAATTACTGGATAAATTGTACAAATGGTAAAATACTGAAAAAAATTAATATTAAATTGATATTACTAAAATTGAATCAGCTTCAAAAGTTTGCCTTTTCCTCCCTGTAGAATTTACTCTATCTGCTCCTTCAGTTGCTACCATCTGACATCATCCCTCGGGTCCTGACAGAGTGCTCCTTTTCTCCTGCCACCAGCGCCATTGTTTCCATGTCTGCCGCCTCCAGGCTGGAGACGGTCACATTGCAGGTCCCGCACCTCCACTGACGTCAGACATTCACTGAGGGATCCTGGCTTCAAGTCAACCGACCGGGTCCTGGCTTGTTTTCCAATGCTGCCACCTGAGATGGAGTGAGGATAGAGATATACAATTCCCTGACCTCACAGGAGGACATCAGGAGCACGCCCCAAGGCAACCAAAACTAAAAAAAAAGTTCTGAACCTGGAAAGACAACAATGAAACCATGTGGATGCAGCAGAACCTGCCACTTGAGCCATGTGCAGCCAAGCCCTGTGCTCGGGAGCTAAACGCTGCTGACCCACATCCATCCTAGAAGTCTTTGATGTTGTGACCATACATATGATCATACATATTGTATTAAAGGATCTATAGTTTATTGGGACATACTTAAGTTTTAATTGTCAGGTGTCAGACTCAGATGGGCTGTTTTTATCAAGAGACACCTTGACACAAGAAAGGTTCTGACTTATTTCAGTAATTGCTGAGGTGGAGTTTCATTTAGCATCATGGTCAGTATTCTACAATATTCCAACGGGATGTCAGCATGGTTGAAAATTCAATGACTAAACGCATCATTTCACAAATGAGACAAGAAATAGAAACTGTGGTTCCATGGCTACCTTATGAATTCATATGAATTTAATGTAAATGCAGAAGTTGTAAAGATGACATTTGTGTAATGAGCAAAAATATTTTAGTTACTTGCTTAATAAACAACATACAATCTGGTCTGTAGCTGAAATTGTTAATAAGCAAGCCAGATAGTGCACCTAATTTGCAATTCTAATGAGGGAACTTGTTTCTGACCTATAAAGCCAATTACTACTGCAATCTGTTTCCAGTGGGATTGTTTCAATTCATTGGTCCATAGAACTAGTAACTAAACTCCAGTAGTTTGAGAGCATTGTCAGAACTTGAATGTCTCTTTGCATTGTTTATACAGTCATAAATATTTTATAAAGAGCTCTGGTATTCAATTTGTGAGAAATTTCAAAAGAAATATGAACTGTAGAAAACCTGTCTAGCACAACTAAGTAAAGGAAATTGGCTTTGTTTTTCTGATCCAGTACATAACTAAGTTTTGTCTTACCGTGGGGGAATCAAATTAAAAACCTTTCCATTGTCTTTTGAGCAGCTTATGTGAGCTGCAGATGTGAGCCTTCACAAGAAGAGATTATGGACAGAGTCTCATAGTGGCCTGAATGGTATAGACTATAGTAAGAAATCTGGGAGAAATGCATGGGAAATCCAGTAGGTACAACTTAATTTTGGGAGCAACTAGCTACCTTTTCCAAATAAATTCCAGGTTTCAAGGCAAGATTCTGGCTAGGAAGTGGTGAGATGCCAACTAATGGGATTATTACTTGTTAATAGCTTCATTATCACCAAATATCACCTCATTAATATGCATCTTCCTATCCTATCACCAACCGTGAGCAAACCAGACGTTGACAGTTCCCAACATGAATGTCTAAGCAGATACCTAGCAACTCCAGCTCCAGTGCGCTCTCCCTTTCATCTTGTGCGTGTATCTTCTATCGTTTCTTAACTCACTGTTTGCACCTCCAGGTCGCTATCTTGGAGACCCAACAACAACTTATCAGGGTATACTCAAGGGCAGCAGCCACATGCATTCCTCTTCCACAAAAGCTGGCATCCCACACCTGCCAGCCTCTCAGAATCCTCATGGCACCTCTCTGAGCAATTTCAGGACACTTCTGCACTTCAGAGCTGCACCTAGGGGTCCACCAGCACCTAGCATTGTAATGCTGCTGCAAGGAAACTTTGTGTGCAGGGACAACACATAGTGCACTGACTGGACCAGGCTGCATGTCAAGGCTATTTGCTTGCCCTCTTACTGCTCACTTACTTTGAACCTAATCTGGAAGCTAACAGCATCCCTGCCTAGTCTTCCTTTGCTTTTTTGTGCTTTTGCTCCTCAGTCAAAGCTACGAGGCTCACAGTACTTCTGTCTTACCTAGCACCGACACAAAGCCAGCAAGCATATCATGGTTGTTAGCAGTCCTCAGTCACACCCAGGGATCCCAGCACTGTAAGTCAAGGGCAGCCTCCGATACCAGTGCAGACAGTGATAGATGCAGGCTGGCATCAGATGTAGGGGCAAGGTAGGTAATTAATGAGGTGAGTTTAGGATGAAATGGTGAGAAATATCACCGGGAGTCATGGAAGGAAATGCTCCATGAAACATGACAAAATTA